CTCTCATCCCCCTCCTCCTCCTCCTCCTCCTCCTTCTCCTCCTCCTCCTCCTCCTCCTCCTCGTCTCCTCCTCTCCATAACTGTTTTGGCTAAATTTGCTCGTTGCCCGCAGCAGAGAAAGGTTACCTTCAATCTAGGGCCAGTTTTGGACCGCAGGTTTCGCCTTCCTCGCGCCCGCGTGGTCGTGCTCTACATCACTCGCCTCCGCATCCGCCTGCGGCTGGACGTAACGCGAACTCACTTTCAGTTGAGGACCCATGGGAGATCGAAACCAGAACGCTGGACAAGACCCATGGGCTGCACATGCTGTCAAGCTTTCCGCCAGCCGCATGCCCGCCCACCATAGGAAAAAACCTACGAGACACTTCGAGAACAACTACAAGTAAAAGTGGACGCAGCATCGTCCGAATCTGCCGGGCCCTCCAAGACGGTACGCAAATCGTTCGTCTCCGCTGGCGCTTCAGCTGGCGACGCGTCCATCCAAGCCCTGCTGGGATTCTCGGCTGCCAGACGTTCGGCTGCCAGGCGCGATGCCGTGCATGCGCCAGAGAGCCTTCTTGCCATTCAAGGGGCACGCGGCAACGAAGCCGACCTCTCGCTCGTCGAGTCCACGCCTCACCACTACGTGTCCTACCCCTCCGCTCTCGACGGAAACTCCGAGTCCACGGGCGGCGTCGCCTTCCTGATCCCCTAGGACTGACACGAACTACATTTTCCTGCTCACCAGCGCCCCAAGCGCGACTTCTTCGAGATCGGCCCTGGCCGCAACTCCGAGATCCGCATCAAGAACGCCGCCCGCCAGTGCGAAGCGACGATCTTCAACGCGCGCAACCACGTGCTGTCGGTATCGGACAGAGCCGAGTTCTCGGCTGCGCGGCAAGCTGCACAAGAACGAGGTAGCGCTGAACCCATCCAACCGCAATCTCGTTGACCATCGGGGACTGCAGCATCTCCTTTCTGCCGCCGAAAAGTCTGCAGATGCCAGTCGATGCCAGCGCAGCTGCGCAGCGTCAACAATCTGCGACCTACTGGGAACACATATTCAGCCCCATCGTAGAAGTAATTGCACGATCGACTACGCACCGGCGCCCTGCCGACCACGGCGAGGCCACCAGCGACCGCTGCTTCATCTCTACCAACGCACGCCGTTACCCAGATGTCGAGGCTCACCTCGTCTGCGACAGCCACCCTCTAGAACGCTGGGGCGACCCTGCTGGCGATCGCGCAGTTCTGCGCCTTCGACTGCGACCGCAGGCCCAGAGCCCCTCTGCCGAATGAGGCATTCCCGCGTTCATTTTTCTCGCGCTACAAGAGGCGCTGCGCGCGAGTCTTGAGCGGCGCCGACTCAGACGGGGCCCGCCAAGTGGCGGACTGCGAAGCAGATCGCGATTGCAGCAGCGCAGAGAGCTCGCGACGCCGTCGCCAAGATCTCCGCATCCGAGGTCGCAACAACGCGACCACCAACGAAGAAGCGCGGGCGATGGCGCTCCACAGCATAGCTCGCGCCGCGCGGAACCAAGACGCGCGCCCCGCGAGGCGGCGCACCTCCGGCACTGCTGCTGGTGCTTAACGCATCCGCGTCCGCGGCCCCTCCGTCGCGCTCAGCGGCCCCGCGGCGCCTGCTCCGGCGTCGTCGACGCCGCCGGCCCCGCGGTCTCCGGCTCCCGCCAGCAGCTGGCCGCCGCCAGTCGCGCGCCGCCCGCCAGGAGAAGAGCCGCCACCTCGGCGACAGGTGGAGACAGACGGCCCGCCGTGGAGGTCAGGAAGGCGAGCCGTGGAAACCGTTCGCCAAGCGTCTGGCGCATGATGGCGCCCGCATCTCCGCGGGCAGCCACCGCAACGCGCCCCCGATTCGATGGCCGCGCGCAGCGCCATCCAGCAGCGCTGCAGGAAGGTCTTCGCCGCCGAGCCCGTCGACGCCCCCGGCGCGCAGCAGCGCCTGGGCGGCGCGTTTCCTCGACGCCCGCCACTTCCCTTTTCAATTCCAGGACTTCGAGACATTTCTGGCGCAGCCCCTGAGGCGGGCGATTCGGCGCCTGGGCCCGACGGGCACCCCCCGTGCTTGGCTCAATTCTCCTGGCAGCATCGAAGTGCTAGAACTTGCCGACCTCGCCTCCCCCATCGCCCGCGGCGGCCCCGCCCCCCGCGGCTGCGAGTGCTCGCCGAGGGCGATGCCCCCGAAGGGCGACGAGCTGCTGTGGGACTCCGAGTGCGCCAGAGAGCCCGGCATCCATTGCCCGCTGGCCATGGAAAACTCCGATCGCATCAGCTCCTGAACGACGTCGCCACCCTCGATTCCCATGCTCGCCAGCTTGGCGTCGCAGGCGACGCCGCCGTCGCCGCGCAGCGCCTCGGCAGAATTGACGTCGCAGCCGCCTTCCCCGGCTTCCTTCGCGCTTGGCCCTGGGAGAAGCGCGCCAGATGGGGCGCGGCGATGCTCTTTCTCTTTTTGGCTTGCTACCGCATGCCCATCACCTGCCTGGGGCCGGGCGGCGCCCTTAGTTCCGCGCTCCTTGAGGAATCGGGCATCGCGCTAGGGTGCCCATGAGAAGCGCGCTACGAGCGCTCATCTTCGACCCGCTCACCAAGGGCGCCGCGGGCGAGTTCGACGGGCTCAGCAGAGGCCTCGTCAGCGCATGCGCCGACGACCTGGGCGTCGTCTTGACGGTGCTGCAAGACGTCGAAAAGACTTTCACCTTCAAGCTGTGCGACTCTCTGCGGGGCTTCTGCTGCAGCCCTAGCGGGAAGAAGCGCGTCGTCGCGCCCGCGCGGGCGCTGCGGGCGCCGCCGCCGGCCGCCGCGATCCAGCGCGTTCTCGGCGCGATCCATCTTCAGTTGCGCGACTTCAGAGTCGAGAGCGACGCGCGATACTTGGGCGCCATTTTTCGGACCTGGCGCTTCCCTATAACGACGCAATTGAGATCGCCAGCCGCCACATGTTGGGATCGCGCGCAGATCCTCGGCGAAGTGAATCGCGAGCACCCCTACAGCAGAGCATGCAGCCATTCGACGTCGCCGCCGTCGCACGCCTCGCCTGCATCGGGCAAATTTGCCCGCCGTCACCGCGCTTCCTGGCCAACTAACATCACGCGCTTCGCAAACTGCTGCGGGCTGCCCCCCCATTGGGCTTCGCGAGAAGTGGGCACCTTCTCTCTCGAGTTCTGGCCTGGGGCGGAAATGCGGCAGCGGCTGGAGACTTTGCCCTCCGTCTCGACGCGTCGCTCGGCTACTGCCACAATTACTCCAGATTTCGGAATAAAGGGAGGGGGGGGGTCTCATTTCGGGGGGGGGGCTCTTCCAGGCTATCTTGGAGGGCCTGGGGGGGGTCTGGGGACGGTGTTTCGGAGGGTTCTCCCACGGGGGAGGTCTGAAACGGCTTGTCTTGGAGGGTACAGACCTTCTC